TACGATCGTGGAAGCTTTCCCTCATCATGTTGGCGGCAACAGTAGCACTTATTATGATGATGGGTGTCAATGGCACCTTGATGAAAAAGGCTCAGACACTTTCCATCGACGAATATGCCACAGCAGCCTCCCTTGCTGAGGAAGTCTTATCTTCAGCTCGCAACGTTGCTGCATACGGCACTCAAAAGCGACTCGAGGAGAAGTACAAAGCCTTTGTGGACCGCGCAACTGTACATGACTTCAAGGCCAAGTTTTGGCTATCCATGATGATCGCTGGTATGATGGGTGTGCTGAACCTCCAGTATGGTCTTGCATTCTGGCAAGGAAAAAGATTCCTCGACGACGGGGAACTTGGCGTTTCCAACATCCTTACCGTTGTCATGGCACTCATGATTGCTGGCTTTTCCATCGGACAGAACCTACCGCATCTCCAGGCTTTCGGTGGAGCTACTGCAGCCGCTACCAAGGTTTTCAACACGATCGAACGAATTTCCCCCATCGACCCGGAAACAGATGAAGGCATTGTGCCAGACGACTTTGTTGGTAACCTTGAGTTCAGGAATTTGAAGCATGTCTACCCATCTCGACCAGACACTACAGTGCTATCGGACTTCAACCTGGACGTACCATCGGGCAGGATGATCGCGCTTGTCGGTGCATCTGGATCTGGAAAGTCGACCATTGTTGGACTGTTGGAGCGCTTCTACCTCCCGATGGAGGGTCAAATTTTCCTGGACGGCAGAGATATCACAACTTTGAACCTGCGCTGGTTAAGGCAACATATGGCCATTGTGAGCCAGGAACCCGTCTTGTTCAGTACCACAATCTATGAAAGCATTTTGCATGGTTTGGTCAACACAGAGTATGCAGATGTATCGGATGACAAGAAGATGGAGCTCATCGAAAAGGCTGCTAAAATCGCTAACGCTCACGACTTCATCATGGACCTTCCAGAAAAGTACCAGACCAAGGTTGGAGAGCGAGGTGGCTTGCTCTCAGGTGGACAAAAACAGCGTGTTGCAATTGCTCGTGCGATCGTATCGGATCCCAAGATTCTTCTCCTTGATGAAGCTACTGCAGCCCTCGATACCCGATCCGAGAGCGCAGTCCAGGAGGCTCTTGACCGCGCATCGCAAGGACGTACTACCATCGTTATCGCCCACCGACTCTCGACCATCAAAAGCGCCGACAACATCGTGGTTATGGCCTTGGGCCGAATTGTCGAGCAAGGCACTCACCAAGAGCTTATCGACCGCAAAGCTGTATACGCAAGTTTAGTACAGGCCCAAGAGCTTACCTCTAAGGTCAGCCCTGCCAACAGGATGACGCTTCTGGACGACCCTGACAGCAAAACGGAAGGCACTGCCAACGAAGAGAAGCTTGCTTTGTTGCGAACCACTACATCCGCCCCTACAGAGTACCAGGCGAACAAGAATGAGAAAGAGAAGGAATACGGTACTTGGGAGTTGATCAAGTTTGCATGGGAAATGAACAGAGGCGAGCACACTACCATGACTATTGGACTGGTGTTCAGTTTCCTCGCTGGCTGCAACCCTGCCATCCAAGCCATCTTCCTGGGTAACTCCATCAACTCGCTTCTATCTCCTGGAACGTCTCTCGGTGGACTCAACGTAAACTTCTGGTGTGGCATGTTTCTCATGCTCGGAATCGTCATTGGCTCTTTCTACTACGTACAGGGTATGACTCTGTCAAGAGGATCGGCCAGGCTTGTTGGTAGCGTGCGAACGCGCGCTTTTGGGGCTATGCTTCGTCAGGACATGGAGTTCTTTGACGGAGACACAGTAACTTCTGGCGCGCTCAGCAACTTCCTTTCGTCAGAGGCCAATCGTCTTGCTGGTCTCAGCGGCTCTACTCTCGGAACGATTGTCAGCGCTGCTTCTTCCATTCTTGTCGCCATTATCGTCGCATGCTCCTTTGGTTGGAAGCTGGCGCTCGTGTGCTCTGCGACCATCCCACTCGTTATTGGCTGTGGTTACTTCCGCTTTTACGCCCTTACCCGCATGGAGAAACGAACCAAAGAGACGTCTGATGCGGCCAGCTTTGCTTGTGAAGCAGCCTCGTCCATCCGTACTGTGGCCTCACTCTCATTGGAGAAATACCTTTTGGGTACTTACCACGTCAAACTTGCGGACCAGGGCAAGGGCTACTTCAAGTTCACAAATGTGTCAGCGGTGCTCTATGCAACATCTCAGGGTCTCAGCATGTTCATCTTCGCCCTTGTCTTCTGGTACGGAGGACGTCTATTGTTCAACCAGGAGTACACTGTCTTGCAGTTCTTCATAGTCTACTCGTCCATCATCAACGGTGCTCAGTCAGCTGGTGCAATCTTCTCTTTTGCCCCCGACATGGGCGAAGCTAGGGACGCGGCCAAGCTCTTGAAGTCGTTCCTGAACCGCGTTCCAAAGATTGACCACTGGTCGCCTGAGGGCATCAAGATTGAGAGGTTAAGCGGCAAGGTCGAGCTACAGGACGTACGTTTCACGTACCCCGGCAGACCTGACCATCGTGTCCTGCGCGGTGTCAGTCTGGCAGCCAAACCAGGTCAGTTCATTGCACTTGTCGGTGCCTCTGGCAGTGGAAAGTCAACGGTCATGCAGTTACTTGAAAGGTTCTACGACCCAACAAGTGGTGGCGTGCTCGTCGACGATGTGGACCTGAAAGACTACAACCTCCAAGACTACCGATCGCAATTGGCAATCGTGAGTCAAGAAACAACTCTCTACACTGGTACAATTCGCGAAAACATCCTCGCCGACAAGGAAGACTTGGGCGATGAGGCGGTGATACAAGCATGCAAAGATGCCAATATCTATGACTTCATTACATCGTTGCCTGATGGGTTCAACACGCTAGTGGGTGCAAAGGGTGCTCTCCTATCTGGTGGCCAGGTACGTTCCTCTGCTCTCTCTTCCTCTCAAACTTCACTAACATCAGTTTCAGCGCCAACGTATAGCGATCGCCCGCGCCCTCCTCCGTGACCCCAAGGTCTTGCTTCTCGACGAAGCCACATCAGCACTCGACTCCACATCCGAACGCGTTGTACAAGCTGCCCTTGACTCCGCAGCACAAGGGCGCACCACCATCGCGATTGCGCATCGTCTGAGTACGATTCAACACGCTGACGTGATATATGTCTTTGATCAAGGCAAGATCGTAGAGAAGGGCAGACATGACGAACTGGTAGCTAAGAAGGGAGTTTACTTTGAGCTGGCGAAATTGCAGGCCATTGGAGCGCCGCAATAATTCACAAAAGCGGGAGCTTTTCTGCATGAATGGAGTTTGGGTATATATTTGTAATCATTTTTCTTAGATCATTAGGCTGGGAACTATATAGATCTCTGGCATATAAAATGCCTGTCTCTCTGCCTATGGTAGAGAATGCTCAATAGCTAATGTTTTCACATCTTCGCTTTCGTACTGGTGGATGTATTCGTGGGGTAAGTACCCCATCTGACACGTGAACGCGCGCGTCGCGATCTTCAGTTTGGAACGCGACTTCCGATGGCAAGCCATCATCCCATCCATCTGAAATGCAACATTTGCCTTGCGCCGCTGTCACCAAACCGAAGATGCAGTGTGAGCTATGTTGAGATGCATAGCTTTGCCAAGCATGGCTCGAACCAAGCCATTCCTTCAGGCGCCCACGCCGCATCGCCTCGACCGCGGCCAGCGAGTCACGATGAATCACCATTTATCTTGACACAGCGCACCTTTCGCTGAGGGCGCCTGTATCCTATCCTCTTCGCGACACACATCGATATATTGTGACTCCGTAAAGGCCGTCCCACAGCGCCAGACCACGAGAATGCGCAACCCCAATGGCTGTCGCGTATTGCTCCTCCTCCTTCCACCCGGTCTCCTCCTTGCCATCGCCGCCCTAACCAATATCCTCGAGAGCATATCCAAGGACAATTTCGAAGACTACCTTGATCGCGATTGGCGCAGCGGTGGTCGCCAACTCATCCTATCACGCCCAGGCGGCACCGCCTCGAACGACACCACCGTGACCATAGACATCAACAACGTGCCCATATACGTCGTATTGGGGTTATGCATACTAGGCTATGGAGTTGGTCTGCTCAGCGCGGCTGGAATATGGCAGTTGAGGAGAACAGAGGGCACCGCGGCACATGAGAGGAAGTGGACTTGGGTTGTCTTCGTGGTCAATATCGTCATGGTGGGCGCGAGCCTGGGTGGCTTTGGTTATGCGACCTCAGTCCAAAGCAGCGAGAAGAGCTGGCAGAATTATGAAGACGTTGGACAAGAGGACCAGGAGCATACGAGAGAGACGTGGGCATGCCAGATCAGTAAATTCTATCCTGATAGGAATTGGGCTGGTACTGCTTGCGGGACTACGAAAGCGATGAGGTTCTTACTGGTACCCATGGCTGTTGCTGCGCTATCGATCTTTCTCAGTCTGTGGGTTCTCGTACGTGCGAGGGGAGGAGTGAAGTGGATGTTTGGTGGGAAGGGGAGGTATGCTGGGTTTGCAAATGTTTATGAGATGCGACCACCTGGTCCACCATCGCCTTATGCTGGTCCACCAGGGCAGCAATGGATTCAGCAGCCATGGCCGACACAGCATGGACAACAATGGGTCGGACAGCCCGTACAACAGCAGTGGGCGCCGCAACCTTATCAGCCATGGGGCCCGCAGCAGCCTGTGCAGCAATGGGGTCCTCAGCCCGGGGCCCAACAGCCCGTTTCTCAAGTACCAAAGTCAGATGCTGCGGTAGAGCAACGTCCGGTTTTCGGATGAGGTTGCAAGAATGCGAAATCTTAACTCTTACTGCAGCGTTGCATGGCTTTCCCCTTCACTTATGATCTAGACCTGTTTCGCCTTCACCTTGAACCCACCAAAAAGAGCAAGAGCGCTTCCGTAGGTCACTATTGTTTGGAATTGCGACTGTTGAAGGACCTGCCTATTTACATCTCAGAACTTTTGACATCTTAACGCAACCGTCTAGGCCATAATTGTCATGTCGGCAGGCTCTTCTCATGGTACGGCGCCATCAGCAGGCACTCCAAGGTCACTCGACATCCTTCTCAGGGACTTGGAAAAGCGATTTGGAAGAAGCGCCGATGGAGAGTATGCGAAGAACTTCAAGAACCGAAGTTATGCCACCAGCCTCGATGACCTCGATAGCAACGACGACGGTAAGCCTGCGCTACCTTACGTAGTAGGCGCTACATTTGTTGCTCGCCGTCATGAACCACCTGCGCCTTTCGGTTTTGGCTACGATACTCCTTGGCCGCCTTACAAGACAAACGATTTCCGACTACCGCAGATCGACTACTGTCTGATTCGACAGCCACTCGAAGGTCGTACACTTGATGAGTCTCGCGTACTCACGATTACGGGCACGATACGTACTGGGTGTTCCTTCGGGGCTCAGGTCGTTGTCGTCAACGGAAATATAGTGGCGAAGATATACGACCCGCTATACGACGCTGGAGGTGATTGCTATGACAACAAGCGCGACGTCGTTTGGCTAGCCGACGGAGACTATTCACGGGAAACTGCCGCATACGAGGAATTGCTAGCAAGCTCCGATACATTGAGTCTGGTTCCGGAGTACTACGGGAGCTGGACAATTGAAGTACCTACGAAAGTGGGCGATCAGACATTCACACGACATGTCCGCCTCATACTAGTGCAGCATATCAAGGGAACCGTCATGAGTACTGTCCAGCCTCAGTTGCTCTCTCGACAAACACGTTCGGCGATAATGAAGAAAATCTTAGAAGCTGAATCTCTCATCTTCAACGCTGGTGTCCTGCACCGCGACATATCGCCCCGCAATATTATGCTCGTCCCCCTAGCATCAAACGTCTCGTTAGACGATCCACATCTCCGAGTCGTCATTATCGACTTTAACGTTTCTAATGTCATCCGCCTTAGCAACGCTTCCTGCCACGCTTCGGACGATCCCAGCCCTGTATCACTACAAAGAAAATGGCCAGGTAAATTCCTTGGTCCAGTAACGAGGTTTTGGAATACGATGGAGGAGTTTGAAGCTCGAGATTGGGTGAACGATGAAGATGGGAAGGCGAACGAGTGGTTATGGGAATGCTTCGGGCAGAGGGAGGAGTATGTACCGCTTGTCAGAGACAGAGAAGAGAGTGAACTGTGTCCAAGGATTGCTTGGCGCAGTGAGCTTGAGGATGACGAGAACGACGAAGATGAAACTGTTGCAGGTACGGTGAGGAAATTTAGCTTATATACTTACTAAATCAAGACGCTAGTAAGATATAAGTAGTATAAATACTTTAGTAGTGTTTATATTTTAATATACTAAAAAATCTTATAATAATAGCTTTTGTAGGTAGCTTAATAACCTTATCTTTTTTGTTATCTAATCTTGTTAGGGTGGCTTATTACGCGAAGTGGCTCGTTACGCGCACGGTTAGTGTATACCTGCGCTTTCCTATTTGCTGTTAGTTGTTATCATGGCATAATTATATGCAACCCGATTTCAACAACAACCATGCACGGAGTCAGCCCCTGTTTTTCGAGTCTTTCCAGATTCAATGGATCAATGGCTCGGTAGATGTTCCCTAGCAAATACTCTTAATGTCTTGATAAACTACCTCCAAAGCACGTAAACTTCGCTTAAGAAGAATCAGACAATAATGTATGTCATCGGTCTGTTTCTCCCCACCGTCAAGACCAGGTCCTCATTTCCAAGCGTCATGTTGCCGGCCTTATCCTGCAATTGCACCTGCTTCTGGGCGAGCTCTACATTTCCGAGTACACTCTCAGGTAACCAATCGTCCAAAGTAGGCTTGCATTCAGGCTCGCTCCCACTAATCAAAACAACGGACCCCCAACGATTCCCCTGAGTTACATTCCAGCATTCCTCGAAAGCTTCCTCAAGACTGCGACACGTTATCAAGACCTTTTGGCTAGCAACCCTGATTATTTCGGCTGCATAGTACCGTAGGCGTGGATTGTTGGTAGCGGAAACGTGGATTATAGTGGGCTTCTTCTGGTAACCGCCTCGCGAAAAGATACTGAATTTGTTCCACGACGGGCGGTGATTGTAACTCATGATATCCTCCGCAGACCTTTCAAAGACATCTGCTTCTGAAATTCGAGAAGCGGTTGCACGCGGCTCGTTGGGCTGGCTTGGTTTGAGTAAGCCCTGTATGAATGAGATGTCGGCTGTAGCGGGATTAATGGTTTCAATGCGACGTCCTCTGAACCGAACACACAGCAGCATTGTTTCAGGATCACCGTCCCAGTCAGCCTCAATACTAAATGTGACATCTTCCGATCCGCTTTTGGGGAAGTCTGGTTGTTCAATTGGTAGGTTTTCGACATTGGCGTCATCCCCCCTTATCGCGCGGAGGCGTCCTTCTGCCACACCCGGTCGAACCAACCCTTCAATATCCCTGGGGATCCCGCTAGTGTCGACATCTAGCATTACGAATCCCCCCACTTCCCGAATGGTTCGGCAAGGCTTTAGTAGGCTTCGGGCAACGAGCGCATGTTTTTCAATGATGCCCACGCACCAATTTTCTCGGTTCGCCGCTCGGCGGACCTTGGACACCTCCTTCCTCTTCCCAAGAACCAATTCCGAAAGGATACCTATGACTCTCTCGCGACGAAGGATGCGCATACCTGGAGCAGCCGCATTTCCTTGGACAAGCCAAATGTTTCGAGCATTGCAGAGAAATTGCGACGATCGATAACCCCAGGCCCCATCGACGGTCTGAATCCGAAGGGAAGACGTGTCGACAAGTCTCAGTAATATGGCGTAATAATACCCCATGAAGAAAGCCTGAAAGACAGTGAATGCATTAATCTTAATTGGATCCTGCATTTTGGAGTTCCATATCTGCGTTTCACTCGTTGAATGCTCCCAAATTTCGGCGTCAGAAGACATGCTGTCGGTGGTCTGGTCGAGGATCCACACAAGGGAGGCTGAAGGCTCATGCTGAAAGACATTCTCGAGTGCTTGGCAAATTTCCCTATTGACAGCGAAGGCATGCGCAGAAGCGATGCTGTGAATCTCGTCTCGAACTCTCGAGGGAGGATTTCCAATGTTCCAGAACGCGTACTTGAAGTCGTCGGAATGTCTCGTGTCATAATGTGGAACAACGGGTCTGCATTTGATAAATTCAGCAGCTCGGGCGCCTTCTTGCCATGCCGTGCGACATCGGTTGGCGACGTCTGCATGTATGGGAAAGTTGGTCAACGCCTCCTCAGGACATATGAGACTGACAGTCGTCAATGGTACGCGACCTAGTATATTCTTATCGCCTCCTAATTCTTTACCATGTGCGTTCATTGTAGCTTCGACGTTATAGTGCAGACGGCAAGATGTTGTTGATACTGGACCGTCTCCAAACCCTTGCACACTCAAAACGTCGAGGCCAAGTTCCGAAAGGCAAAACGCAACACCAGCAACATCCGAGGATTGAGTGGTGTAGTCCTCTCCAGACTCAGCTAAAAGCCATGTCAAGAAATGGGCCATATGGGCGACGTCTCCTTGCGGCATGAGTCCATCGACGAGCTGACCGCGACTCAAGAGATCGCGTCTTATTTGGCGAGCCTTGGACGCGAGACCTCGTATAATGGAGGAAGATCTCCATGAATTGAGTCGATCGGGGTATCGTGAGACTAAGATGTCCTCACCGAATTCCGTGGTTCGGAGGAGAGCGAGTAGGACTTTGCGAAGAGTTGCTCGAACCAGCTCGAACGACATGAAGGCATCCATCGCGGCGACAAGTGACACCATAATTGCGGTGAAGCGAGAGAACTCCTCCAACACTTTTTCAGCATGCTCCCCTTCGTACTCCTTCGGCTGTCCGTTAACGAGTAAGGAAATATGTCGACCCCAAACTTTATTGAACCGGTCGATATCGATCAACCCTCGCCGTGTGATAATCTCCAATTCGTCAGTGTCTAGGAACTTCAGGAGGTCTTCATCGCCAGAAGCTGCGGTCATCCAGTTTCCGAATCGCGTGCCCAGCGATATGGCGGTGGATATGTCGCTAATTCCAAGGCCCAATGCCAGCAGAGACCCGGCTTTTGTAGTGATCTGCAGCGACATTCTTCCCAGTCGTTTAAATGCTGCTGAGCGAAAATGATGTTATCGTTATTACCGGACAATTGACTTTTCGTAGGATGGAGATGAAGAGAACGTGAAGGATCGAGGGCGGGGTGCGCTGATATCGACAAGTGGTCGGCAAGGCTGGATCTTGTCTCTATTCACCGCAAGGCACACAGGACAGTGTACTCACCGGAAAGCCATCAAATATCTGATTATCAAGCAACGCCAGCCAGTAATCTGCAAGCTCTCAATGCATACTAAACGTGAATAGATGAAATCTCGAGCTATTGGTTCGACTGTGCGTATGACCAGCCTAGGCATAAGTACTTTCATGCCATTCGATGTTGAAAGGAGGGGCTGCAGCTCTTATCGTGGCTGGATTGAACACAGCCTGATCCATCCAAACACACGAATTATTTTAGCCTGTGACCAGCAGAACACTGTAATCGGAGGATACTTAAGAAGTAAATCCATGCTGGTAATTTGCTGCGTCTCTGACATAATCGGTAATCATTACCCCTATGACTGCATCTCTTATCGACACCCACCCATGGCCTGGTCATGAAAACACACACCTGCATAGGGCAGGCTTTTAGGCCTTTGGTGCAATCACTAACCTGCTGATATTGGCTCCTGTAGCAAGAAGAGCGCTGGCCACCAGGAAGTGCATCTCTATCACCGCGAGGCAAAACGGTCTTGTGCCGGAGATGTCTCGTCGCCTCAGATCCAACTCGAAGCCCAGCAGGTGCTTAGTGAAGAACAATTCAGAATCGCCTTGCATAGTCTCTAAAAACTTGAGGAGCCAGGATACATGGGGTGACGCAGATGGCGAGATCGTCTTCCGGGGGCGAGGTTGTAAAAGTTAGGTGAGCTTTTGATCACCGCCTACGACATAGCACGGAATGTCCACTGGGCTGGCGCCCGGAAAACTGGAAGACGTCCTCGAAACCGAGCCTTTGTCTCTCACATCGACTTGTTGAAGGCCGAGCTGTTGGCGATGATCTGAAAACATTGACCATCACAGCGGTGGTCCGCACCGGATACGACTGGGGAGCACAATTCATAGTCATAAACAATGACATGGTTACCAAGACATATGATCCGCTCTATAAGAACGAAGGGCATGAGTACGGCCTCAAAGACGTTATGTTTGATGCATACTTTGACTACAGCCGCAAGCCTGCTGCCTGTCACATTTTGCAAAAGGCGTCAGCGGCACAGCAAGCCACACCTGAATCATGTTGACAGTAACGATAAACCTCTATATGACGCGTAGACAATGCTCGTATTATTCGATCACTCTTCTATTACGTACTGTCTTGACGAAAAACATGTTGCTTCCCACAGATCGAGTCTCTACATAGCCATCTTTTTCTTGTCCGCTTACGTCTATTCGCAGCCTGTTTGGTTGAACTTCGAAATTGACGTCGCGTCGGATCCAAAGGCTACAGCGCGATCAATCCAGGCATCAATGCTTGCAGGTGCTGGCTGTCGCTCCCTGCTCAGGATGTAAAGCGTGCTCCAATTCTGCGTCTGCACAATCGCCCAGTCGACCGCGTAATCTGGACATCAACGTTAACATCGATGTACTCAATGTACGGCTCTGATAATTAACTTACCTTGTACAATGTAGTTCGGTCCGGGGCAATCTGGTGCCGAAGATGCGCCAGGGAAGCTGACGACAAAAGCTCCGCCGGCGCCATAAGCAGAGTCTACAGGCGTAGCGGTGCCGATAATGTCGACAGTTTGTGGTCCAACAGTTGCAGTGTTCACAACACGTACTGTACCATTGTCCTAGACTCGCTGTCAGGAATGCTGGCTAAAAGTCAACAAATCTCAAGAACGTACGTTGAGTGAGTAGTTTGCGGTTACGCAGCGTGCGCCAGCCGTTGGGCCGAATGGTGTTCCCGCAACTTGATACCAGGTTCCGAGATACGCTTCTAGATTGAACTTGGAGTCTGGGACAGGGTAGAAACACGATCCGTCATATTGTGCTGCCGCGACATTTGGCGTAGGGGACGTCTCGTTGTAAGAGGCTTGACGGGGGTGGATGAAGCCTGAAGCGGCTGAGGATAGTGCGAGGACGGTACTGGCGACGCGCATCTTGAGTAACCTTGTGCAGTGTTGAGATTAGAGATTAGGGTATAGGTAGGATGGAGATGGTGATGTTCGCTATGACGAGGACATCCCTATGCTTTACTTGAACTGAAAATCCTGTGGCTGGTGTAGAAAACGTTGTTTAGTAAACGTCACCCCCAAGCCACTACACAGTACTACGCACTTATCCACAGGCTAGACTTGTATACATGCGTACAATCGCCAGTAGCTTTCCCGGGCCGACAGGAAAAGTCTTGTACGCTCATCGGTAAACATGTGCTGCCAAGCATGCGGACTCTGTCCCTCGGTCAAATTGTGGTTGCGGAGGAGCCCGGCTCTACTTCTCATTACGAGAAATTGCGGATGTCTGCAACCGCAGCGACTGTTGAACAGTGAGGTTGGTGATGTGGGTATGCGGACTGGCGTAAGCGATGGAATGGCTGGTGATGACGTATGTGTCGACCTAGGGACTTGGCGATAGAGCCGCATCTGTCGCATATACTTTGCACCATCACATGTCGTTACCGCGTATGGTTTATCGGGGCTGTGGAAAGTTTCGGCAGGTATTGTCAATCGAGTGACTTGTTGATGTCGAAAGAGTGTCATTATGGGCAAAACAGGCACAATCGGAACTTATACAACTACCTCATGGAACGCTCCTACTACGGTCTGAATTCTTGCACTTCACATGAAAGGGATGTGTCGAAAATGTTGAGTTTTCCCTAGCGGCAATATCCATCCAGCCAGATTACTGTCCTTGGCTTGCAATGCCCGAATTATCGTTCGCACTGGCATGAATCTCAAACTCATCGCGGATCACAGGCATGCGCTGTGGCATCAATTCACCACATCCATCTACCCTGCCACACGAGTTTTTTCTGGTTCCTGTAAAGCAAGAGATGATTCTCAGATACCTATGGCGGGCTGCGGCCTGGCTCGCCTATTACCGCATGGCATGCTTCAAGTAGGAAGCCCAAAAACGCCAGACGCATCGAATCCCTTGGAACAGCCGTAACACGGAGCACATGAGGCTCGGAAAATGACCCAAAGTCCAAGAGCACAAGATGTTCGTAATCGCAAAGAGCAATATACCGGGAGTCCAGCACTTCTGCCTCTTCCACGTAGCGTCGGTCAATCACATTGCCTTGGACGATACTGGCCAGTTTGTGCGGACTCAACCATTCGATCATCATGACCATTTTCGGCGCGTGCGTCCTTGTGAAACTTTCGTAATATAGCGTTACCAACCCGTCGCCTAGGTAGCCGTTGCGTTGCGTGAGTTCGGTAGGGTATCTTATTACGATAGCATGGTCTAGGGGACACTTGAGCCATATCCGAGCGGCGTTGAAGACATCGTCGGCTGTTTTGAGAGGTTTGAAAGGGGCTTCATCAGACTTCGGCGGGGTTGGTAATTTAGGATTTTGGTGGATGGGCGAATTGGGGTCTGCGTATTCGGCTTCGAGAAAGCTGGTGGCGGTATCAACGTAATCTACTGGCGCATCGGTCGGTGGATTATGGAATATACTATGAGCTCTCCTGGGATCACGGCGCGGGTTGTCGAACCTTATCAGCTCTTTGTTCTCGTGGTCAAGTGGGGACCGGTAGTCATGCGCCATGGGATTCGAGGGAGTGCTTTGTCAATGAGATGTCGTACTCTGATATTGGAATAAATTTTAGTTAATAAGAAGTAGTGGACTTCCTGATCAAGTCGCAAGTGAATGTACATGCAACCACTAGCAGTGTGGATGAGAGTGTAACAGGTACCACGCGCTAGCTATTATATCAATGAGAAGCACTTAACAGAGAACCTTCAAACGTTCTGATATGCTCGGATCAGTAAAACTTGGTCAAACCGATAGTCGTTGGGCGCTGCAGGAATTTGAGACAATTGGAGAAAGACACGGCACATCATCTATATGGCTCGATGGCTTGTGAGGTCAAGCGTAATGATCATGTTGTGAGAAGTGATGGGACTGCTAACGGATAACGCCTATGCGCGCAGCGCTTGACCCATAGCGCCTATTGTGGCCATGAAGCCCACAAATACCCTAGAAATAAAACAAGAAGACAAGACAGAACGGAGTAGCAGACCTAAGCTTCCCTGGTCACGATGGTGACCTTGAACTCCGCGTCAGCCAACGAGCTGTCACCGCCGACCTTAGCACTGCCGATACCAGAACCCACGCCGTTATGGCAGCCTTCTGATCCCGACTTCTCAAGCATGCGGGCGAAGTAGCCGTAGCAGTCTTCGACCTTCCAGAAAACGCCAGCAGAGTTGTCAGGCTGGGTAGCTGGGGTGACGTCGACTAAAGATTCAATTAGTACTGTAAATACATGACTTGAGGGATAGAGCCTTACACTTGATATCCCAACCGCTAATGCTGTTTCCATCTTTGTCAACTACATTGGCGTGCTGTGTGTTGCTCTTGGGGCCGTCAAGCGGGTAATCGACAGTTGCGGTGCAGACTGTACCCTTAGCGGCGCGGTCTTGATAAGCGCAAGGAGGCATCATAGCAGCGCAGGCATTATCGAGCACGGTATCGAGCTGAGGCCCACGCACAAAGCTGATCGACTTGTCTGATGTGGCGCATGTTGTGGTTGTGTCTGACGCGGGTTGCCAGCTATCATTCCCGCCGGTCTGAGGAGACTGTCGTTGGACGAGCGGTGCCGCAAATGCCGTAGCTAGGAATGTGCTGAAGAGGATGCTGGTGTACATCTTGATTGTTATTCCGGAGTTTGAGGTAAGGTGTTGTAGGAAACTGCCACAGTTGGGTCTACGCCAGTAATTGTATGGTCTGCAAGCCGAGTGGCGGGTGGGGTTGGAGCAGGACTTCGGTATATCAGTGAAGGCGTATCCAAATAGTAGATCTTCACGAATCAATGCGCCAAGCCAATGATGTGTTGGAATTTGTGAATAGTAGCTCGTTCAAGTACATCCATGAGGGCGATCGATGTTCTATATTACCTTGTGCTATGTTTTGCGCTAAGAGATAGAGTTGTTAGTGATTACCGTGGGGTCGGGAGCATGACGGCGCAAAGTGTGGAGATACGAAATGAGGCATCCCCTGGTGGATGACGGATTGTTACAGATATCTCTTTGTTTCTGGTCGGACTTTACTTTGTGCCTTTCTTTTGTGGGCTTGACAGGGGAATGGCCTTGAACCATGTCTGCCTCGGGAACAAGAAACAAGGACGTATAAACAGACCTTAAATCTGTTGAAACAACAGTAGAGTTGTGTGCATAGCTGCGGTCCCTTCCAATCAGTTGTGGGGACATTTGTGAGTTGAAATGGCCGGAGCGTGGGGTAATCTCTCTTCATCAAACGATCGGCAGATCTACCGTCCGTGCCAAAAAAGCATACGCATCTTGCTAAGGATATATCATTCTCAATAGTTCTCAACTGGACCCCTAGTTGAGACGCGACGGTTCTTGCGCTCACCACGAACAGCACTTGACTTCCAAAGGCGGCTGCGGAGATGGCGCGTTCGGAAAGACATCACTGTCACCAACGTCATAGTGACGGATATCGGCAGAAAGTCGGGGAGATGCTTGTTCGGTGGTATTGATGAAACAATGAGGTGCTAGGCTCTCACGAAGTTCCTCGAGAGTTCCGACCGAGGAAGCGATGTCATGTGCCAAGGCTTTAGTCCGCCCTTCATTTCCCTTGTCGTGGGAATCGTCCAGACTCCCAAACACCATGACACTCAGCGCAAACAATGCTACTTCCCCTCACTTCATTTCAGATGCTGCAGGTTCTGATCAGTGGTTGTCAGTCACAGCTCCTGCCCGTGGTGCAAGCTCGAAAGGATACCACAGAGAGAGAGAGATCTGCACTTAATCTCCGGCGAATGAGAAGGCCTATGCAACAGCTTAACAACAGCTCGCGAAGCCACTAGGATGCACAGAACTCTCGTACCTAGGACACGGTTTCTCTACAGAGCTCGTTCCATCTACAGTGTTACAAACAAAATGAATACGCATTGAACGTTGGGTAATCACAACATCCACTTCGACCCACAAATACATCAGCATCGCTATCTCTTCTTTCCGCGCGCAAATAGCTCACGCTCTTGCTGACATACAGAACCTGTAGCATCAAAGATTGAAGCTGTGATGTTATGATTCGTTGGCGTACTCTAGCCGTAAGCAGGATACTGCTTACAACAGCCGGCAGGAGGATTGCTAGCTGATTGGAGCGACATACGTTTAGGCGTACAGCGTTCAGCTTCGTTCGCTCATGAGGAGACGCCATAAGCAACGCCTATCATACATCTGCCTGAAAGGCTTCACTATACCCAGGCTTCAATAAGTGCGGGCTGTTACTCTGCATCTCTCCTCGACATTCCTTAAACTTATCATCTGTCGCAAATCTTCAAAATGGATAACAGAGCTGATTTCAGTCTTTGGGCTGACACGCCCTTCGCCCTTCTCAAGATTCCTGGTCAGCCAGGTGGGCCAGTATGCGTAAATCCTGGTGTTCTCGACGTCGCTATAGAGATGGCAAACGTCCACAACGTCCTACTTCGCCCGCTGAATGCCGTTTATCATCAAGCGCCCTTCATTCGCCTCCCTGTAGATGTTGCCGATTTCATGCTGTACATTACAGCATGGGCAGATACGCTACATCACCATCATTCCCTTGAAGAAAGTTTATTCTTTCCAACGGTGGAGAAGATAGCAAAAGAAGCGGGGATTGATGATTGTGAAGGTATCATGGGAGGGAACGTGGATCAACATCATGAGTTCGAGCCCAAGATAGCAGAGCTGGTCAAGTGGGCTGAAGAGGTTGTGGCTGGGAAGAAGACATATGACGCTGTGGAACTGAAAAGACAGATCGATGACTTCGCACCTATCCTGACACAGCATTTACATGACGAGATCGGTACCTTGGTCAAATTGGAAAACTGCGATGGAGAGAAGATTAAGCAGGCGATGAAAGAAACGGCTGATGAGGGAGCAAAGACAGCCGATCCGGTACGTACTCTAGACTTCTTAATGATTTCGCTGTTGTAAAGTAGCGCTGACACTCTATGAATCCAGAACCTTGTCATCCCCTTGGTGCTCGGAAGTATCGATAGAGGCTATCCAGGCAGCGAGAACTTCCCGCCCTTACCATTCTTCGTTCCATATCTCAACGCGTATTGGTTTACGCGAAAGCACAAAGGCTCTTGGCGATTCAACCCAAGTGACCACTGGGGTAATCCGAGACCGCTGCACTTTCTCCAGTAGGTTGGAGTGTTCGAACATATTCTCGCCTAAGCTTGTATGCGAAGTACGTCCTCACAGCCTTACCGTAAGCAAACAAAAATCTGTGTCGTCTTGTCCCATGGAACTCATCTCTTCTCGAGTTCCTTGGAAGCGTGGTGGACAGCGACACAGAATATCCGAATGATATTAGGAAGTTGCACAAAGATTGTGAAGCTAGAGCGAGGAAGGAGATTGGCCATGTGGTTGGAGGAAGCTGAAAAGTATCGTGCAAACGCAAAGCGAAAGGTACCTAGCTAGTGAAACAATCTCGAGGTAGACAAATATGTGGCGCTGGATCAGTTCAGCCTGCTAACTTTGTTCAATTCCGCCTCTTCACTTGTTTAGACTCTTTCGAATCACCTCCCAGTGCTATTTAGATCGCCCGCTCTTTTGCATCCAAATCATTCTAATCCAACAACACTTGTCTCAGCAACTCGAATCTACAGCAAGTAATGATGCATGACAACGTTGCACCTCCTACCGGCCTCCTCGAGCTTCCTGGAGGTAAGTTCGTCGCAAATTGGGAGCCTAGATCGTTTCTAATACATATCACTAGAACTTCGCAACCGTATCTACGACTTGGCGCAAGAGTCAGATCAAGTCCGTCTCGTATACAAGCCGAGTCTTCACCACGAGCAAGTCGAACAAATTAGTCGACAGTTCTTTGGTCTGACCCAAGTCTGTCGCAAGCTCCGAGTGGAGTATCTACCTATCTACAATGCGCACACCATTGTCAGCATTGATTGCGTGCACACAGCCTCCTACATCGACACCTTCATTCTTCCAGCTGGCGTGGAGCCGAAACAAGCACGCGGGAACCTGATCGTTCGGACTCGGACCCCAGCGTATCACGATGAGAGTGTCGAGGAGCGAGTCCCTACGCAGGCTATAATTGACCTCATCGCCCTCAGCAAGGAAAATCTTCAAGTCACGATCAAATTTGACAACTCCGCTTGGTTCGTCCCATTATTGTGCACACTAATGCGCAGGCTACGGTGAAGGCCTCAAAGACTAGTCGAAAGAGATAGGAATATGGGATATAGTCTAGGGATTATGCATAGGCTTTGATTCTGATACTAAGTGGAAAGCATATCAGTTGTATCCATGGCTTTATGAAGAAAAAAGAAGACTGCGTGATGCAAGCAGATGCTGCACAATGGTTTCAATAGAAGACTGCTGCTGTTCAAGACGACAGTTTTAACAAAAGTGATGGGTTGTGTTATTATGATTCGAGAACGTTAATTTTGAGGTCAAGCTTGTCAAGTAACCGCAATAGCGTAGTCGTTAGCTGCAAGGCTGTGTAGTGGAGTGAAGCTGCAAAAGCATAGCCTGATAACATCTCAACGAATCTCAATACGTATATGGCCGCCTCTCCTATTGCTGATTCATGACTGCAAGCCTAGACCACTTTGAACACATGATCAACCTCGTCACTTTATTCTCCTTCGTGTTTTTGTTCCACCAACTGTCCACCTGCAGTGAGAACGAAGTCACACATCACGCCGTAATGATCCGAAACCCAATCCAGCTCTCCAGCCTCCGTCATCATCTGTCTATGCTCTTCTGCTGCTTTGACACCCATGCCAATCCTTTGAAACTTGATTGGATTTAGAGGTCCGGTAAAAAAGATCTTATCCATTCTACTGCATCCAAATCTGTCTCTCATGGCCTGTGGAACCTGGTAGCCCCACGTGTACCCATTGTCACTATCCTCTTCACCAGGGCCGGCTCCTTCGCCGCCAATTAGAAGATAGGCATCGTTGAGATTATTGTCTTCATGCAGCGTACGATCAAAGGGCTGAATAGCGTTGAGATCACCAGCTAGAATTGCGCTTGAAACACTATCGTGATGAAGGTACTGCTTCGCGGCTGTCATTTGGATAGGGCGGACTGGTGGGTCGGCAACCAGAGATTCCAGATGTGTGTTACATAGCCGCATGGTTTTCTGCGGGCCGTCGGGATGAGCCTGGTTGTGAAGGACGATGTCGACGAACAGGCCATCTCGATCGAATTTGCTATACCAGGGAACGCGGAAAACAGAATCTATATACAGTCGCCGATCTAAAAGGGTTGTAGTCCCGTAATGAGGACTTAACCAGTTCCGTGAGTCGATATCTGTGAGGTTGAAGCGTTGCTTGACCCAGGCCGAATCTCGTATTTGTTCCATGTCCGACACTCCCATCTCTTGGAAGAATATGATGATTGCGGACTCCGGCTCCGTCGATGATACCACATCATACAAATGATCTAGCGCGGCACTCATCCGTTCCTCTGCAAATGGAACGAGGATGTCAATGTTCCAGGAGATCAGTCGGATCTTTGTGGGGTGTACAGGTGGTTGTGATTCATCTTTCGGAGGAGATTCACCAGATCCCGCTGCTACCCAGTCATCATCTGACGAGACGCAATAGTAACTCTGTTGTCTCGGCTCGTAGAAGGCGTCTTCACGTTTCTGTATCTTTGTAGAGAAAGCGGCAGCAAGAGCCTGCATGATGGGGTTGGGCTTGTTGGAAGACATGCTTCTAGGAACTATGGTAGGTAGTCAGAAAGCAAGAGACGATGATCTGAGGCTGGGGACTGTAGGTCGCAAGCACACGATGTTGACAGAGAGTCGAAGACAGGCACTGCGAGACATGATGCTGATTGTAATCTTGATTAGTGCTGATGCGGGGCGTGAAGCACACGACTGAGGGCGAAGTGAGACCCGAGGTTTCGATTAGGAGTATGTAGTTGCTTGTATCAAAGCAAGCAATAGCCAGGACTGGATACCTTCTAGTGTAGCAGACTGATGAGCAGAAGCAAAAGCGTGTTGCTGCAGGTTGCAGGTGATGTACAAGCGCCGGCACGTGATGCGGTGAGGGCACCCCTGTCATCAATGCCGAAGCGCGTCGTGAACTTCGCGATTCAGAAGGAGCTCCAAACTGGGGAAGCAGCCACGACCACAGCTCTTCGCCCCGCCAAAACGACCGTCCCTCATCCACCGTCGGCCCAGTCGCCCTTTCCAGTCATCATCCCCCAAGCCCGTCGCTGCCCCAGCCCCCCGTCATGGGCTCCCGATTACACAATGCTCCCATTGTGATAGACAATGGCAGTGGTACGATCAGAGCTGGATTCGCAGGAGAGGATGTGCCAAAATGCTTTTTCCCGTCATACGTAGGACGGCCAAAGCATGTGCGGACAATGGCAGGCGCATTGGAGGGCGATGTATTCATAGGACCACAAGCACAACAATACAGGGGGCTTTTCAAAATCAACTACCCATTGGAGCACGGCATTGTTACAGACTGGGATGACATGGAGCGGATATGGCAGTACGTCTACACAGAAGGCCTCAGGACTGTCAGCGAAGATGTGAGTTGGACCATGGCGGACGGTGCCTTTTGCTGCTGTTGAGGGGCATGGAGCTAACCATTCATCCTTTCAGCACCCCGTACTCCTTACAGAGCCTCCTCTAAACCCCCGAGAGAATCGCGATACGGCTGCCCAGATCCTGTTCGAGACGTTTAATGTGCCCGCCTTGTACACATCAGTCCAAGCTGTCCTGTCACTATACGCTTCCGGCAAGACGACTGGTCTTGTTCTAGACTCGGGAGATGGTGTCTCGCACGCAGTACCCGTCTTCCAAGGTTTCGCCATACCCAACAGCATCAGGAGGATAGACGTGGCAGGCAGAGATGTTACAGAACACTTCCAACAACTACTGCGGAAAAGCGGTCGCGTCTTCCATACAAGCGCTGAGAAGGAGACAGTCAAGAACATCAAAGAGGCAACAGGATACGTGGCGCTCGACCCGGCCAAGGAAGAAAAGGACTGGTCAGGCTCATCCAGATCCGAGGGCAAGAGCGTCGACTATACACTACCTGATGGCCAGAAGATAAAGGTAAGGTCAAGCCGATGAAGCATATCGAGTACTAGCTGACAGTGTAGATCGGAGCGGAACGCTTCCGAGCGCCCGAAATACTCTTCAACCCCGAGATCATCGGTCTGGAGTACCCTGGAGTGCACCAGATTGTTGTTGAGGCGATACACAGGACCGACATGGACCTCCGGAAAGCGCTATACGGCAACATTGTACTCTCTGGTGGTTCCACATTGACAAAGGGATTCGGAAACAGACTGCTCCACGAGGTGCAAAGACTGGCGGTGAAGGACATGAGAATCAAGATCTTAGCACCACCGGAGCGCATCTACACCACGTGGACCGGTGGCAGCATTCTTGCGGGCCTCAGCACTTTCAAGAAGGTGAGTTCCTTATTCCCAGCACGAGGCTTTGGACAGCAGACTGACACGTGCATGCAGATGTGGGTAGAGAAGGACGAATGGCAGGAAAACCCAGACATCATCCACACCAAATTTGCATAAGCACCGACACGTTGCGGTCTGGCAACAGCAATTAGTCCGCACCCGTTTGTTCCGCCTCCGCATCATCTTTCGAGAAGGAGCTACATAGGCGCATCGGTAGCGCTGTTGCAGTTAGTCATGGAAACGAGGTCCCAAGACCTGGGGTCAAGCCAACCATGAGCGAAGAAACCTGGGGGCTGCACGCTTGGTTGGAGGAAAGAAGATCTACGTGTCAGCCGGTAGCCGTAGCTTCTAGACGGGAGAGCTACCGTAGCATGTTCCTTTCCCCGCATTCGAGTGCGTTTCTGTTACTTAAGCGCGAGCATGGTTCGAGAGTGTCGGTTAGGTAAGGGGTACGAGGGGACGAGAACACGTGCATGACAGGCGTTTGTGAGCGCTTTGGAATACCCCTATGATTATGAAGCGTACAGAATACCACAATTAATCCACTTGCGACTGTGCACACGGAGCGCGAAACTGCCATGTCAGTATCAGAAGGTTTGGGCGAATGAGTGTGCCAAGGATCGTGAGGTCTCGTCCAGTCTTGTCAGCCATGGTGTGACCACGGTCAAATCACCGATGCTTCACTCTGGCGCAATTCCACGCAATGTGCAACACATATTACACACAATGGCGAAATGACATGCACAAATGGCATTACCCCGGCCGCAGTCATCGCGTAAGCGCTGCAGGTACCTGATCACAGGGCCGGCCACGACAAGGGGCCACGTACATTTTCGTCACCGCAAGCACAGAGCCACCGCCGCCTAGACTTCACGATGCTCGACGTCATGCACGACGGGGCGTCCGGAGGCTCGGACAAGTGAGCTGATCGTGCGCGGTCACCAGGCAGAGCAAAATAGGGAGAGAGAGGCGGAAGTGGTTATTGCTTTTTTGGAAGACGCCACCAAACGCTCGAGGTTTGCTGTGCCTTGCAGAAGAGTGAATGTCGGTGCATGCAGTGAGGTGTCAAAAACAGCAACACCAAGATCAAACAGGCAGTATCAGAATCTGCAACCGCTCCACGTCGGTTCTCCTCTATTCCAGGCACGCCCGATGGCAAGCGCAGAGCGTATGCGGCGTATGCATGACGCGAGCCAAACTTGAGACGCGCGAAAACAGCGAAAAAATCTCTTCCCGCCTCCACATTCTCCGCCGGGAAGCGTGTGCTGGCCATCGCGGAAGCTGGCACATGGGGCCCAGTTTGCGTATGGCGCCTTTGCGTCAAATTTTCAGCCCGTCACCTCAGCATGCTCAGTCACGCTTCGGCAAGCTGCGATGCGCTGCTGCGGTTGCTGCGGAGCCAAGGTCCGGCCTTTCGATAGCGTCATGGGCTCGATCGCTTCGCTCCTTGTCCTCCGCTGCACCTGACCATTTCCCCTGGCAATCTCTTACCCCCGAGAAACTAGATTCACCCAATCAGCGCATTTTGAGGGGGTAATGGTAAACTATTCATGGCGCTGAGAAATTTCCTACACTTGCGTTGTTAGGGGACGCATGATCCATTGACTGCCGTTAACTGCAAAGTGTCGCTCAGACTTCCAAGGCTTCTGAGCTGGCCTCGTGCGCGTTTGGTTCGTTTCGTGGCGCCGAAAAAAAGCTTGCGCGTGAGAGATTTTACTTGCCTTGCATTTGAGTAGTAAGAGGGGATCGTGATC